GCTACATATGTCATGTTCTCAAAGTAGACAATCTGGGATGATAAAAATATATAAATACCCACAGATTTATTTAAATTGACATTTCCTTAGTTATTAGAATAATTTTAGAGCAGAGGTCAGCACACCATTTCTCTAGAAGGTTAAGGGTTAGATAGTAAATACTTGAGGCAGCTACTAAGTCTGCTGTCATGAAGCAGTCATGGATAGCATATAAATGAATAGGCACAGCCGTGTTCCAATAAAATGTTATTTATTCTACATTGAAGTTTGTATGATTTTCACAGTCCTGTTGTGCCCCCCGCCCCAACCATTTAGAAATGTAAAAATTATAATTAGCTTGTGGGCCGTGTGAAAGCAGACTGGATTTGGCCCACGGCCGTCATTCATCAACTCCTGTTTCAGAGCAGTGCTGAATTTTGTTTCAGTTGCCTTGTACTGTGTAAGTCATTAATTGCAGAATTAGTATAATATAAAGTTAGTAAAAAAAGCTTTGAAATCTAAGTAGACTGTTAGTAAGTTAGCCATTTTAAATCCCAGTTTTCTTATACATAAAATGAGAATAAGTATTATACGTTCTTCATTATAAACGACAGAACTTATGCTGGCTATTGTAGTCGGAGTAGGGAATATTAAATATGATGAAAGGATATTAGGTAGCTACAGAGTCATTGGGGAGTGCTAGAGATGCAGATTTAAGTCCAGGCTTCTGGGAACATTGCCCAAAACCATACTGCAGAACTAGATTTGAGAAAGCCAGGGATACTGAGCACTAAATACTAAGCACTCAGTTTGATTGCTGATGCCTCTGGTGGTGGGCCATTGACAGGTACTCCACATTGCAATCACTGGGAAATGGCTAGCATTGGCTGTTGCCATTATGAAAAGGCAAATGTGTCTGCCACCTTGGGACTGAGCAAGAAATGGAAGCTTACTCTAAATCAAAGTCTCGTAGAGGTTTGTTTTTGAGCTCAAAGAATATGCCATGTCTTTAGCCATAAGGGGAGCTGGGAATTTTAAATTCTAATTTCTACTTTAGATAGTAGATTTCAGAATGTGGAAATATCAACAAATTAAAAAAATCTTTTCAAATTTTTGATAGATGTCCATAGCAGTAAATACTTGTCCCCTTTCAGCGTATATGCCTCGTTTTGTGCTTAAACTTCCAGCATCCTTAACTAGCTGTCATCTAAAAAATCTACAGTTTATCAAAGGTTTGTGTTCTGAATTGGTGAGTTAGATCCTAAAACTTAATCTTCATTCAGAATAAAAAAAGTTATAAATAGTGGACTTATTTCCAAGGTAGCCAGAATAAGATTGTTGACAAAAGCTAAGTGTCTGTTTCACAGAGATAAGTTTCTTAACGGTGGAAAGATTCTGAGTGTTATCATCCTGCTACCAGGTAGCTCTGTGTCCCCTGTGAAATATGGTACTGTTTGGTGTGGAGGTGAGAGTTAATTATTTCTTATGGTAGATCACATTTTTCAAAAACAGTTGCTTCCTTTCTTTACTGGTTTCTACCTGCAGGACCTCTTATCTGTGGAGAAGTACTTCCTTGTTCCTGTGAACATCAGGCTTGGCCATGGAACTTGCTCTGGCCATTGGAAGATGAGTAGGAGTGATGATTTGTCGTGTCTAAGCAGAAGCCTCACTAGGAGCCATGGCATGAATGACTTATGCTTATTGTCCTCTGTCCCAAGAAAATAGGTGCCAGATAAAGGCTATTTCCTTTGCCAGATTGCAGAATGAAGAGGATGCCTGCAGCCACCAACAAAAACGAGAAATGTGTTTTGTGCTGTCTGTTGAACCCAAGGCCCTTTAAGAGTTAAACATAATTTAATAATCATAAGTACTTTCACTGTGTTGACATGTGCACTGTGGCTCAAAAGTGATGCTTTGGAAAACTCACTGGTTAGGAAAAATCAGTGTAGTTTCTTCAAACTGTGTTCTGTACCACCATCACCACATATTTATAGTAAAGCTTTACTTAACAAAACCCCATCTCCACCAAAAATGCAAAAAATAAGCTGGGCATGGTGATGCGTGCCTGTAGTCCCAGAACTTTGAGAGGCTGAGGCGGGAGAATTGCTTGAGCACAGGAGTTTGAGACTAGGCTGGGCAACATAGGGAGACCTCATCTCTATTAAATAATTAAAAAACCCCCAAAACCCAAAAATATTAGCTGGGCATGGTGGCATGTGCCAGTAGTCCCAGCTACTTAGGAGGCTGAGGTGGGGTGATCTCTTGAGCCCAGGAGGTTGAGGCTGCATTGAACCCAAATCACACCATTGCTCTCTAGCCTGGGTGATAGAGTAAGACTGCATCTCTTGGAAAAAAAAAAGCCTTAAGAACATTCTTGATGAAGCAGTGAAGAGTATTAATCTAAAAAAATCATGATCTGAGTCCAGATCTTTTTAATGGTGTTTGCGATGAAATGGAAAATGTTCATAAAATACTTATGAATGCAAAAGTATGATGGTTTCAAAGGGAAAACACTTGGGCAATTATTTGAGTTATGAGCAGAACCCGCCTTTTTAAATTTTCACTTGAAACAGCGACTCACTATAGTTATTCTGACGAGCATTTGAGAGAGATTTTCTCAAACAAAGTGAGCCTTTAAGGAAAACACCTGAGAGTATTTGTTGCCAGTGATAAAATCTGAGATTTCTCGTGGAAGTTCGGGTTTTGGAAAATTATTAGATACTGTGAGGTTTACAGCTTCCTTTTATATAGGCTTTTTCTGATGATCCTTGGTTTCAGTACTAGTGAGTGTATATATATATATATAT